ACTTACACATCCATTTATACAATGGAATACTACTCATCAATTAACAGGGATGAATTCTGGAATATGTATCAACTTGGGTAAATCTCAGAGGCAGTATGTTGACATCAAAAAAGGAGTCTCAGAAGTTATGTGCTGATTCCATTTATATGGCATTCTTAAAATTTTAAAACTAGTTACAGCAAAGAAAAATTATTGAAGCTTGAGAATGTTGAGAGGATGTAACTGTAAAGCTATAAGGCATAAGTGAGTGAATTTTGATGTGATGTAATTTGATTATGACAGCTTAAACCTATATATCTGTATATTTTTAGAAATACAAACCAAATGTTTAAATATAATCAATTTTACTATATGACTATTTAAAATAAAATGAGTTGTAAAAACAATAGACAAATCTTTCTATATGTAAAACCTACGTATCAAATACTACTTTCCAATTTGTAACTTTTAGGTTCCTTTTAAGTATTAGAAAATCAGATAATTACATTTCTAAAGTATTTGTGTGTCTTTGATTATAATAGCAATGGCCGCCATTTGTAACATGACCAGGAAGTTTTCATAAAGGAGCTAGACAGTGTGATGAACTGTGGTATACATTACTGCAGCCAGCAATTGGTTGTAACTGAAAGTTGTAAAAGATTCAACATCAGTGGACTAGAACATTTAGTGTAATATGAGGGATGTTATTTGTATTAGGGTTAAACTGAAGGAATATTAGGCTTTGAGAGTTTTTTTTTTTCCCCCTCTTTAGCATTTAAGTATTAGTAAATGTTGGATATCTTTAATAGATACATGAAAGGATCATATCAAAAGACTCTTCTTTTCCTCTAAATATAAATTTATTAGGTACCATTTACTGGTATTTAAATACCATATGAGGTTTAAAAGTAATTTTACGTGCATACCTTTTAAAATTTTATTTTCTTCATAACAAAATCTGGAGCATATAAATCACAACATTTTAGGTTCTGAGAATTTTTTTTGCCATATTTGTTAGAAATCATGGATGAAACATGTCTAACATTTATTAGATCTCTCTAAAAAGCTTCTAAGTATCCATGGCAGGAGGATCACAGTTCAGTTTATAAGTAGATAAATGAGTCATCAGTAAAGTTGAAATTATTGTGGAAAAAAATCTCATGGACAGGCTCACTGATTTCATGTGCTATACTGAGTCTCACATCTGTCCTTATATTTTATTGCATTACATTTCAATTGTTTCCTCATTTGGCTTACTTTTCTTATTTGATTGTGGCATGAAACTATATTTGTCTGCCTTGATGAATGAGCCTGTGTATGTGTGTGTATTTCATTGCAGACTTAGCCTTCACATGTGTTTCTTCATGTGTGCCTTGTCTAAAAGTGACTGCTAAATGTACTTGGAAGCATTTGGTTGCGACCTTTTTAATTTGGAAATGTGAAGGAAAGTAACTTTAATTTATTGAAATTATTTTTGTGATTATGTTACAAGGAAGTAATTGTCTTGGGTGTTAAATTATCTTAGACATGAAATGAATTGATTTCATTTACAGTTTTATTTTTGCTGAGATAACATTCATCAAGGAAGATTTTTGTGTGTCAAAAATATAGAATCAATGGTATTTGATATTTTACATACTTGTTATCATCTTTTGAAAGACTTCAATTATTAATTACAAATTAGGCTGCTTAAATGAAATTTGAAAATGTCAAAAGATTTTTCTTATTGATACTTTAAATTTTATTTGGAATTTAATCTATTTCTGAGTTTATTCTGACAATTATTTTGCCTGTAGGGTTTCTCAAGTGATTTAACACATCCTTTTGTGAAGTAGAAAGGTTGATTCTCAAGGGGAATCTTTCATTTTTGCATGTTATATTCTTCTTGATAAAAAGATGTTTATTTTAAAAGGCAGTCTAGCTGTGATACTTTGCTTGTTTTAGTACATAGCAGATCATATAGCCAGTTTCTAATTTCTCTGAGTTGCCTTTGAAGTGAACTTAGTTTATATATCCATTGTCAATCACTAGACTTATAACCTAGGTGTATCTTTATGATACATGTGTAGAGAATAAAAGTACCTTAAAGATAATAAACCTTTTGGATCACATAATATATGTTATCTACATTATTGAAATGGATGGATTTATACGTAAAATCATTCAAATCTTATGTAAATTTTAATAGAATAAAAATACACAGTATATGTTTCCATTAAAAATTAGTAATCTTTATTCATAGTTACTTAATATTCTGAGGTATTTGTGAGCCAAGACAATTGAGACGTTTGTTAAAAATAGGAACCAGAAAGCTCTGGAGACACAATAAATATACTAAATTATTGTAGTTATTTTTATCTTATTTTTCATTTTGATGCTAACATCTAGCCTTCATATTTTATAATATTTAAAATAAATATTATTTCCTAACTTATTTAAAGCTCATTAAAATTGGAGGATAGTAATTATTTTTAAGAAAAAATATCTACAATAGATTATAGTATCATTTTTCTTAAAAGAAGACAGGATTCAAAACCTTTAGCCATTCCTGAAGTAGAATTGCTTCTTACAGAATATCTGTTATAGTATTGTCTATTGAAAAGTTTAGCAATTTTATATTATGATTTTATAATCAGTGCATTTTTTGTCTATGAAATAAAACAGTCCTCTGATAATATCTTCCTAGGTATTGCTATACTTTTCAAGAGAATTTTCTATGTTGTATATATTAGTTTTGGCTGATATGCCTACTTGCTTTCTGGATTATCCTATCTATATAGATCCTCTACAGATGAACTGATGTATTCTAGACAGGAAGTGGTATGCAGGAGATATAGGAATGGGCTGAAGTATCCTTTATATTTGCCTTTGTATCTAGGGGAGTTGGAAATAGGCAAGAATGGAGAGAAATTTTGTATGGCAGTACACAGAATTTTGCAAGTTTATTGTGAGCCCTGCAGAAATCCGATGCATTTTAGTTACTGGTAAGTTTGTTAAATTATGTTTGAAAATGTACCCTTCGAAGATGGCCGTCTATTTACTATTCCGCCCACCATGTCAAATACACCTTATTTTTAAGATTTTTTTTTAAAAGATATAGTATTGTTGTTGCATTGGGTTTTAGGTATAAATTACAAATACGATGGTTAGTGAATTTTCATGGAAAATATCAAAGTGAAATTAACATTTTAAAGCTAGCATAGATATGTGTTAAGATTTGAGAATTACAATAAAATTAGTATTTCTGGTGTTGTAATGCTACTCTATCATATTTAGATATCTTATTCATTAGATGATTGAGAATGACTAGTTCTTCTGACATAAAAGAATTAAAAGAAAGTAGAAAATCCATGGCATCATTACAGTTTTGGCAGTTCCACATAGGAGGGTGATTTATTCTAAGAAATTCTATTTAACCTTTTCTCATACACTATAGGAACAATTGTGAGGCATTTCTAGTCTTTGTTTTTGGCGGTGCTAATGTTTAACAATGACTTCGCCTCTAAATCACTAACTTGTATGTAGGTAAAAATTCTGTAAGAAGGTTAGGAAATTGTGTAATTTCTATTCGATAATTTTTTTTATTCTTTCTTAATATTTAAACAGAAGTGTTTATATAATAGTTTTTAAGTGATTATGTGTGAAGTGATCTTTACAAAATAGAATTCATTTAAAATGGACTAGATAGCATAATAGCTGTGCTTCTTTATAGAAACATATAAAAATTCCAGTTAATTGTGTTTTTCCTAAGTGTGCTTATCTTCACTTAAGGTCTAAGTAAAAGGATATCATTGATGAGTGATATTTATGTTTTTTGTGGTTAAAGTTATTGATCTAAGTTACTGTAATTGAATTTTACTTTCCAATAGTGAAGTATTTCATTTCTGGATAGTACATTTTCTTCTGATATAATATAATCCATGAAGATATATGATTTCATAATAATGATAGTGATAATTTTGCTATGAGTTGTTATTGTGAAATTATTTCTGATTTGAACAAAAGTATCATTATTAGGGAAGTGTGTGGTTTGTCAGTCCTGTGAAACAAGAAGGACTAGAAAAATTCTGAAGTATAAATAATTTGGGCTTTTGTAATGTTCAAGATTGCCTTATTATAAATTTTCTTAATTCCTTAAGAATGAGTACTGTTGTGTATTTAGAAATTTGTGACTTTATCCTTCCTTATAAATGTAGATAATTTAGGGTGAATTATAAAATAATTAAGATAAATTTTAATACTGATAAAGTCTGGTCTACATATAAGATGATTAAATATGTATTTTTATTTCGAGGTATACTATATTCATGTATCAGTGCTGCTGTTTGAAGTTATTATATATAACTTTGTGAAGAAATGCATTATCAAAGCTTAATTCAATGAAGTTATTTTTCTTTTGTTCTTCATTCACCCATTCAAAAGACATGCCAAAGCTTAACCTTTGTGTGCTATCATGTGCTCATTTATATCCTTTGTAATTAGTTGCTATTTTTCATTTCATGTGTCATTTTTTCTATTCTTATGCACTTTTCTGAGAGCATGGGTGGACATTAATATGTTACACATTTTCCTGGGTATTTTTTTCTGACACTATTTCAAACATTAGGTGTATACATTTATTTAAAAATGCTGTGTAGTCCAAAAACACTATATCACATATATACTTAAAATTCTCTATGATAGTGTGTTTTTCTAACAAATATTAAAGTAAGTATTTTTGTGGAAAAGTGATGGTTGTTATCTTACATTTATTTGAAAGAGGAAATACATACATATAGATAAACTTTGATGTTTAACTATGAAATGGAAAATACATGATTATCTTTGATTATATTTAACTTGAAAAAGGATAGAACTAGGTTTTTGTGCTTGTTAGAAGATACGTTGTTTTACAACACAAGATAAGTTTAATAGAAATTAGATGTTTGCTTATCTTTTGGCACAACAAATAACTGAAATGGAACACTGTTTTTGTAAACATTTAATGATTTAAAATGAAATTATCTGTACTTTACATGCAGTGCTACTCTTTTGGCATTCCTGGTTGAACTACTTAAAAGTTCAGTAGCCATGCAAGAACAGATGCTGGGTGGAAAAGGATTTTTAGTCATTGGCTACTTACTAGAAAAGGTAAGTGATATGTATTGATGATTTTATTGTATAGCTTTTATGGTTAGACAGCTGATAGTCACTATTTTACTTACAATTTCCCTTTCTACTTAGTAAGGTCATATTGTTTGTCATTTCAGGAGTATTTTTGTATTGTGGCTTGGACATAAGTACAGACATTGAATTAAACTTAGTATTAGAAATGTCAAGTTAAGAAATTTTGAGTTAAAATAGAAACTAAGTAAAATTTTTTTCATGTGCCTATATTCAAATTACAAATCAGTTCTCTGGTTTTTGTCCTAGTTTTTCTTTACTGCTCTTAAATTTCTTAGAAATCTTACAATTTTCTTTTGCTTAAATGATTTGCATTTTTTAACTTATAACATCAAAATATTTTATTTGTAATAGTAGAAATATTTTCTGCTGTCTTTGAACTTGACATATTTGGGCATTTAAAAAGTTTTCTCATATCAATACATAGTATAAACCATACAAAATAAATGGGTTCCTTTTTTTGTTTTATTTACATTCTTTTTAAACAACCACTGTTAAATTCCTGTCATCTTATTTTGAAATCCTGTAACACTGTTGTTGTCGTTTTTATCATTTTGCTTTTTCTCTTTAAAATAAAAAATAAAAACATTAAAAAATGCCCTCCTTTTTTAGCACATTTGTGTTACTTACAGTAATGAATATTGAATTTCTGACTATTTTGCCAAAATCTGAGCTGGAGGAAAATTTTAGAAAGTAATTCATGTATTACATATGCCTTTTTGGGAGGGAGGGGCTGAGTTATAGAAACATTTATTCAAAGTACTTTAAGCATTAAGTAAATACACTAGCTGATATACCTGAAAGTCCTAGTGGATGTAATGATAAGTAGCTTATCCGTTGTACTCTTGGCAGGAAGCTAATTGCATACTTAACCTGGGTTGTTGAGAAGAGTTTAATGCAAAGCTATTTAAAAAATTGTAAGCATTTTTGTTAAGGAACTCAGCCTGATTTAAGTGACAGGAGAAAGGCGTGAATATTTAGTTTAACTCTGGAAGTATTATAGCTGTAGGAATAGGATTCTTGACTAGAATGTAGTCTTCTATAAAGAAAATGTACTGATGTGGTGTATAATGAACCAAGTATGTTTTCTCTCTGGCCTTGAACTTCATACTGACGTCTCCAGTTGGTCAAACTCAACTAGAAACCAATAGATGAGAAAATTGGCATAGAAATACAATAGGGAAAGTTGAAGAGCATATATATAGAGTACATTTGGGTTCAGGCTTGGGTTATCACATTCTCAGTAGTGTCATCAGGGACACAAGTTTTGCCTGTATTTCTGGTATGCTACCTGAGTATTCATTTTGTGCTGTATTGGTATCTTTTCTGCTCATAAATAGGCTCCTAGGGGGTTTAAATGACCAAGACCCTCATACCGAGATTTGAGATAGTACTCCATTTTTATAATTACTGAACAAGATTCTTTTCTTTACTTTGATCGATCAACTTAGGTCTTACATCCCTTTGAACCAATATATGTTTTAATGAAAATATTAAATTCAAGTGTCATATTTCTGAGTAAATTATTATGTTCTCTGGCAAGAAATAATAAAAGATTAATATATTTGAGTTGGATCATTGGAGCTAAATGGGTCTGGAAGTCCTGGGAGATGCAAAATAGATACTGAGGATTATCTGTTTCTTGATATACCTTTACCAACTTACTTAATACATAACTATGCATGTTTTATATATGGAAAACATTTTTTGCAATAAAAATAACCTTATGACAACCCATTCAGTACATCACAAATTGATTTAAATGTTGAGAAGATCGACTTTTATTACATGAAAATGTCTCTGTTTAACACCCAGGAGTTGTTTTTCTTCTTTTCATATTCCATTTTCAAATATGTTTAGTAATGTCTTATATAGTACTTCTTAAAATTTCATGTTCCATTATCTGTCATCATATAGCTCAGAGTCTAGTATTTGGCATTTTCTTGAAGGCTCACGTTATGCTTCTGTCTAGGTTTTAATGATTTGTAACTAAAGTTTAATCCAAGTATAAATATGTTTAAAAATAATTTCACTTGAGAAAGTGAAATCATATACCATAATAGAAAAGTATTTAAGGCAGTCAGTGAAATAAACTCATTTAAAGACAAGCAGGGCATTCTTTCTTAATCTTGTGGGTTTTTTTCATATTTTTATAATCTTCCTTGATTTTTGAATTCAATTAAACATTTACTGAGGAATTAGGAAGGGATTGGAAAAATAAAAGTTGAAATAACATAGCATCTTTTTTTATGTTAATAAAGAAAGATGTGAATAACTAGTAGGACTACCACAAGAGGGAATAAGTATATTTACAAGTGAAAGTAACTTGCTGTTCAAGAGAACATATGTTTTATGTATAGTAGGATTTTAAGTAGGGCAATAAAAACTATAATTTTAGAAGACTGTTTCTTAATCTTTAAACTACTGTTGGACAGGATTGGAAAGCAAAAACAGCATTTTTTTTTTTTCTTTTGAAGGCCTTAATGTGGTGCTTTTAGCACACCATTTATGAGCAAGCTCAAAATTTTTTTGTAAATTATAAATTACTTACTAATCTGAGTGATCCTAATCATCAGCCTGAATTTTGAATTGCAATTTAATGCTCAAGGCATTCATAGATAAATGCAACTTGAGAACATAATGCCAAGTGAAATAAGTCACATACACAATTGAATATCACGATTCTTGATAAATGAGAAAAAATACATATTGTATATATGTATGTGTGTATATATGTGCATGTATATATTTATATATATAAGGTAAAATTCTCCAAATTACATATTCTGTTGTTTCAAAAACATACTAATTTGTTGCATATATACTACTATTTTATTGTAAATCATTGAAAAGAAGGTTTTGTGTTACCTGTTTCTTCTTTGTAAGACCCTTTTTGGTCTATGTCTTATACTTTGAATAAGTACTTTGAGGATTCTCTTACTGTTTTTGTCATGATATTTTGTTTTATTTTTCCATGAAATAAAATATTGGGATGGAGAAATATATGATAAGCCGGGCGTGGTGGTGGTGTCCTGTCATCCAAGCATTCTAGGAGTCTAAGGCAGAGAAATCACAAATTCTAGCCCATACTGGGTGACTCAGCAGATTAGCAAGACACTGTCTCAGAATAACAATAGACAGTATGTACTTCAGTTTGAAGCCTCTGGGTTCAATCATGAATACTGCGCTTAGTTAAAAATAATCGATTTAAGAAAAGACATGATTTCTGAGAATATTTAGAAACCAGATCTGACTATTCTTTCAGGGTGCCCCTCCCCCAACTATGGTACCAGGTGTCCAGCTGGAGCTCAGGACCTCATGCTTGCCAGGCAGGTGCTTAAGCCACTGAGCTAAATCCCAGCCTCTTTCACAGTTTTGTTTTTTTTTTTTTTTTTTAAATCGGTACTGGGGATCCAACTCACGACCACCTGCTTGCAAGGCAGGTGCTTATGCCACTGAACTAAAAGTACAATGTATTAGATCACATTCTTACCACTAATTATATAAAATAAGCTATTTAAAATTATTGCTAGTGAAATTGACAGAGGGTATATATAATCATTGGCCTTGTTTTAATTTTACTTGTCTGTGAACACTGTATTTTAGTGTGTGTGCTGCTGCAGTGAGCCCTGAACAATACATTTTAGAATGCAGTGTTTTATTATTTTTTTCATTGAAGTTTCTTAAAATATGAATTTCTGTTACATTTACATTCCTGTATTGGTTTTTGCCCTTTAATAATTTATTTGTTAGGGTCATTTCTTCCATCTCCCAAAATTTTCAATTAAGTTATGCTTTGAGGTTTTATTTGCATTCCAAAGGCTACTCTTTAATCTAAGTACCATTTTTTTTTTCTAGGTATAGTTTACCTTAAACATCTGAGTTTTTGTTTTGAATTTAGAAAATAAGTATTTCAAAAGCAAGTACACTGAGAAATTTATAAGGCTACATGTATCATTTATATCTTAAATATTTTATATTCTGGGCTGGGGATTTAGCTCAGCAGCTTAAGCACCTGCCTGGCAAGCGCAAGGTTGAGAGTTTGATTCCTGGTACCAAAATATATAATATTTAGTCAACATGTATTAATTATATCTGTTAATTAGTTTAATATGATATTTAAATTACACCGGCTAGGTTTAGTGCAATGTGACACACACGTACATTGTGTTATGATCAGATCCAGACTTCCTTTATTCACTCTTCCCCATTACTTTTCACAACTCTGGCAATCACCATTTTACATTGGTTGGACATGTACCAATTTTTCACTCTTACATGTGGAAAATCATTCATATTTTTTGTCAAACACACAGTCCTGTTAATATTAAGTTACTCTTACCCTTGTCATAAAAAATCAGTAAATGCTAGCTTCTTCATGTAGTCTCTTAAATACCCTTTGCAAATCTCATATGTCCTTCAGGTTTTTTCGGTGTACTTATTAGGCTATCACATGTTCCACATTTACTTTTTATTTTATTTTATGTTGCTGCTTTATTCTTCTTTGGAATGTAAGTTCTAGAAGGCCTAACAAAAGTTTTACTTTTGTTAACTACTCTTTCCACAGTGCTATGGTGAATGCCTATGAAAGTACTCATCATGTGTACTGTATTCTAAGTGACTAAATTAAAATTCTAGAGCTTCACCTTGTATTTAAGATGAAGGAAATCTATGCAAAGCTCTTTATTATATATTGAGCATTGAGTGAATATCAGGAAAAAGCAAGAGAAAGAAACTGGTGTGGGATGGGTAAAATTGATCCAAAGAAATAGTTTTGTTTGGTTCAATAAAAAGGTTTTTAATTTTGAATTTTAGTTTTTTTAGTTACCCAAAACAGTCCCCATCACTTTTTCTTGTCTCTTTCCCTGATCCACACATTATTAGCTACTTGGAATCATTTGAGTTTGTAAACTTTTATGTAGCAATATGAAAATAGATAATATGAGTGGCCATTTTCCTGAGCATAATAAATGTAAATAATGCATATGAAAATTAAAAGTGAAAATTTTAATGTTTGTAGACCTTGATAACTCAGTACTGCTATTTAGTCTTCAGTCTGTGGAAACAGAGGAGAAAGCTACAATATGATGTGTACTTCAGGATCAGATGTTAATTCAGGTAATACATTACCCTATGAAGGGGAAGAACATGAGACTATAGAAAAGATCATAAAATGAGAGAGAAAAGATTTATCTAGGACATGATGTTTTTGAAATTTGATTGTGAAATATGGATTTTTATCAAGAGCATTTTTAAATATCTTGTAACATTTTCTTCTGAAATTATATTCCAAAGTAGCATTGTTTGATTAAAAAACATTATAACGTAAGAATCACACACAACTTAGTGTTTTAATAAAAAGTTACAAGTGAAAACAATTTTAATAATATATACATCTAAACTAGTACATCCTAAATACTTCTTTAACATATACCATAGTCAATAAAATGAATAAGATATTGACATTTTTTTCATATTGAGTGATCAAAATCTGTATACATGCTTATAGCAAATCTCATTTTGGACTAGCAGCATTTTAAAAGCTCTGTAGCTATGTAGATCTTTATGGTTTAGTTTTACTTGGAGATTCTATTGTTTAATACCACTTTTTAATTCTATTCTTTGTTTAATTCTGTTGTTTAATACCATTGGAAATAGGTTATATTTTGGTGACAGCAAATGAAAATTCATGATGGGAATATCCAGCTACAAGCAGTGGTATATGAAGTAGCAGAAGATCATTCAAGATAGTAAAAAGAGAAGAGGCCCAAAAAAGTAGTATTTAAACCAAAGACAATGAGTAGTAGTTTGAGGATCATGAAAGCCAAATGAAGAGAGTATATTGAGGAGAGTTAGATTTACATTTTCAGAAACTAGATAGGTCAGAAAGGTTTATGCTAAAGCAAAATGTGTTGTATTTGTTAATGTAGAACTTCTGTAAAGAAAGATTCAGTGGATTGTTAGAATTACTTTATTTTCACATCAGTTTAGAGTTTGAATGAAAGCACTTCTCTTTCCTATTTTTTTGCATGCATTATGTTGTTTCACACAAATTTTTGGCCTAAGATCTCATTTGTAATTTATTCTATTCTATTTATTTATTTATTTATTTTGGTTCTGGGGATTGAACTCATGACTGTTGCCTTGCAAGGCAGGCACTTATGCCACTGAGCTAACTGTCCAGTCCTTTATTTTATTTTAGAAACAAAACAAACCAACAATAACAAGGAAAAAATTATCGCATTTCAAAAGAAAATAGGAAATTAACACTAGTTAATATAGTGCATATTGTTATCTTAAAATAGTTGTTCACATTACAAGACTTAGGCATAAAAAAATGATCAAACAAACAATAAAAGCCCTAACTGTTCTTTTTGTTGAACTAACAGAGATTAGAACTATAGTTATCTAGTCTTGCACACACACACACACACACACACACACACACACACACACAATCTTTATCCTTATTTCTTTTCTCTGTTCCCCTGTCGCACTTGTTCTTTCCTTTAAAGCAGTTTCTTTCCCTTTCATTTTCACAGTATCTATTGTACATTTTGGATCTTGTTTACTCTTTCAGTTTTTTACACTAGAGAGACAATATGATATTTACACTCGAGTCTGATTTATTTCACTAATGAGTATGATCTCTAACTGCATCTATTTCCTTTAAAAGCTTTGAGTTTATCCTTTATAGCTAAGTAATACTCTATTGTATAAAAATATTACATCTTTTTTATTCATTCCACAATTGATGGGCATTAGAGTTGTTTTCAAGATTTAGCTGTTACAAAGTGTGCTGTGGTATGATATGATGTTTTCAGTTCTTCTGGGAACCTACCCAGAAGGGGAATAGCTGGATTGAATGGGACCTCCAATCCTAGCTTTCTGAGGAATGTCCACACTGATTTCCACAGTGGCTGCAGTTCTCCCACAAAAAATGGAGAAGCTTTCCTTTTTCCCCACAACCCTGTTAGCATTTGTTATAGGTTAATTTCTTGATAACAGCTATTATTTCTGGAGTGAGATGGATTCTCAGTGTTGTTTAATTTGCATTTCCTGAATGATCAATAATGTTGAACATTTCTTTATGTATTTATTTGCCATTTGTATTCCTTCATCTGAGAAGTGCATGTCCCTCTAAAATGCCCATTTTTGATTTGGTCTGATGAGGGGGCTCAAAGATATAAGGCTTTTGTCTGAGGGGCAGTTGGCTAAAATTTTTTTCCTTCATGGGTTTTCTTTTTACTCTAGTGTTGATTTATTTTGATGTGCAAAACTTTTTAATAAGATGAGATCCTAATTGTTGATCCTTTGAAGTACTTCCTGTGCAGTTTGCATTTTGTTCAGAAACTTTTTGCCTACCCGTTTCTTCAGGATTTTTACCTGCCTCTTCTTCCAGTATATTTGGTGTCTCTATTTTAATATTTAGAGCTTTGATGTATTTTGAATTTAATGTAGTGCAGTGAACTATGTCCTTATCCATTATTATTTTATTTTGTGACAAGGCTTTACTCAGTTGCCTGGGTTGGCTGGATGTTGTGATCTTCTTACTTCAGACTCCTGAGTAGCTGGGATTACAGTGGTCATTGTATTTCTTTATATGAACTGAGTAACTTTATTTTTTGACTTATTTATCTGCAATTGTCCAACAAATACTTCAGATGAGCTCACTTAGAAAGCATTCGAAAATACTAAGTTTCTTTGTATAATGAAAATTTTACTAACAAATAAGTATAAAATTTTGTATTTAAACTGTTAGGGATAGCATATGAAAAATTCATCTATATTTATGCTAAGTCAGCAATTATACAGTTTGCTATTATGGATCTTTAAGCTATAATTTATGTTTTTTTTTTTTTTAAGTCATCAAGAGTTCACATAACTAGAGCGGTCTTAGAGCAATTTTTATCCTTTGCAAAATATCTTGATGGTTTATCTCACGGAGCACCTTTGCTGAAGCAACTTTGTGATCACATTTTATTCAACCCGGCCATTTGGATACACACACCTGCAAAGGTCTGAATTTTATTCTCATTCATTTTATTTTAGTGTAATGTTTTAAATTATAGTTAATGCATTTAAAGTATCTAGTAGAAAACATGATTTTTAAAAATTTATAATCAATCATAGGCAGTTTGATTAATATCAGAGATAAATATTAAAATAAACTATAGTTAAAAATTGAGCTGGATATACAGTGCATTCTGATGTTATTAGATGTGATCTATACCTTTTCAAGTAAGAGAATTTGCTGCACTGGTTATGTATAATCATTTTGGCTGAGACTTTGATTTCATTTTGACTACAGTTTATATCATGGCAAGGAAATAGCATTGTTTTTAAAGAAAAATAAACAATATGAAATTTTTTCTGGATAATAAGTCTTCCTATGTTACATTCTGAATTTATTTCTATGATATTTTAATGGAAATCAATTAGATGAATATTTTCATTTGGTCTATCTTTTATAGTTTTAAAATCTATCTGCATACTTGGTTAGACAATGTTTAAGTTATGACTTTTATTAGAGTTTACCTTACGACTTACTGAACTAAACCCAAACCTGAAGTTTGTTCATGTTGTTGTTGTGTCACAGGGTCAGATTCTAAAAGCCAACTTTTTACTATTGTAATAGCTAAAGAAAATAGAAATTCCATAAACTTTGGGGAAATTTGACAGCAGTACCTTTTCAGATATACTACAACAGCTGATTGATGTTAATTTTGTTTCTATGACAAACGATATAAACTAAGAGCTACTGAAAAGTATTTTATGTAAAAGCTTTAATCCAGCTCACTTTTAAAGCTGATTTTCCTATCATTTTCAATTAAATTACTGAATATTTTAAAGTTATTTGTCAGTAGTTGTTATCTTTATTGGGTAGGTTATCTTGATTATATTTACTAGTTAATAAAAAGTATTAAAAAGAGGTTTAGTAGGATGAGGATTTTGACTTTTCTCTATAAATATATATATATTTACAAAAGGTTATTTTCGAACTTACAGTAAGTATTCATTTCATGGCTTTTACTGATTGCATTTAAAGTAAAATAAAATGTATACTTAAAAACACTTAACATTTTACATTTATTTTAATGATTGGCTAATATTCTGTATTAGGTTCAACTTTCTCTATATACTTACTTGTCTGCTGAGTTTATTGGAACAGCTACAATCTACACTACCATACGCAGAGTAGGAACAGTATTACAGCTAATGCACACACTAAAATATTACTACTGGGTTATTAATCCTGCTGACAGTAGTGGCATTACACCTAAAGGATTAGGTAAGTACAACTACCACTGTTTACATTTTCCTAGATTGCTCTTTTTCTCAATGGTGCTATAAGCACATGACCAGGAAACTATCACTTTTAATCATTTTCTTCCTTACGAAGAAGAGAGGAATATTTAAAATAGTTTATGCTAAAAAGTTAAGAGCTTTGTCAGTGTTACATTAGTTTGGAGAATAAAAGCAAATAGAAATAAACACTCTTGTTTCTCTCACTTTGCCCTCTACCTCATACTCTCTTTTTCCTCTCCTATGCATGCCCTGTAAGTGGAACTTGACAGTTTCTCAGACCGCTGGCATTATAGGCATGTATCAGTTATGCCTTGCTCTCAGGTTTTTCATTTTTTGCAAGTTGCAATATAGAAGTTATTCTGTCTTGTTGTATTATGTCAAAGAGGTATATGATTACAAGAGATTTTACCTTTGAACATTTGACTAGGGTGTTGTCTTCCATATTTTTTCAATATAAAATAACTTTCTCCTCTGTAACTAATATTTGGTAGAGAAATATGTTAAGCTGTATGAATGTTCTGTTCAGTAAAGTTTCATCTGTTTGTTTTAATTTATAGATAACTCTTACTGGAATTGATCTTATAGTGACAGGTGCCAAATAGCTGTGCTTTCCAAGATATTTATTAGTTTGCATAGCCACATAGAAAGTATGTTAGGTTTATGTTTCCATTAAGTCTTTACAGGAGTTAGCATTCCCATTTTATTGCACCAGTGGCCACAGATATTGTGTAAATGAATATGTATGGCTTGTACCAGCTATATTCATAGAAACAGGCACAAGTTGGATTTGGCCTAAACTCTATAGTTCATTAATGCCTTAGATTGTGTCTTTATTTGATGCTTTTCAGACTTTTGGCCAGTAGGTTTCCTGACATGTTTTTTAGGTGTCTGTGATAGATGTCTGTAATTTTACTTATTTCCTTATTTTCTGGCACAAGATGTTCTTCATTCATATTACTGCATAAAATGAGTATGAGTAATACTTCATTCATATTCAATGTACTGTGTGTACTTTTCTGTCCGAACCCTGGAATCGCCTGTTTCGCAGAGAAACTCTGATTTGCTTGATGAATGTGGTTTTTAGAAATTATTTTCTAAAAGATTTTAATTTTGTTTGTGTGCCTGGTAAATAGCTTTTAGCAACAAAGCTCTTCGATTTTGTGTGTACTTCTTGTCCCTTCTGTGTACACTTGATGGGCAGATCTAGGTAATACACACATACATCTGAAAGTATATTTGTACTGTCTATCTGTAGTCACATAAGTACCTTGTAGTCTAGTTTGAAAACCACATATCTCAGTGTAGCCCAGACATTATAGTTTTTTTTTCCATTAGTGAGATGTTTAGATCCCATTATCTGTAATATATTTATATTTTTTATTCCACTTTATGACAGTAATGTTTTAACATAAGTGCCATCACTTTTTCAGTTTTAACAGTGCCAGCAGGGTCTTTGTGTACTCAACCCCATTGTTCTTTGGCAGCGAACCACCTATTTGCTCTCAGCTCCTTGACCCCTGAATGTCGCACCATACCCAGTTACCTTGTTGGCTAGGTCCAGCCCCTGGAATCTTCTTGCCCCGTGATGTATCCTTAGGACCCTGGCTTCTAAGGCCTCTTCAGCTTAGCTGTGTCCAGGAGAGCGAAGTAGAGAAAATCAATAAATACATTTTAGAGAAGGGTAACTTACAGAGTGGAAGAACATTTCTTTTGTTTATGATGCAGTTTATTCTTTTACTTTAATATTTGAATTCTTGTGAGATTGGCTTTATTATTTAGGAAAAAGGTTCTGCCTTGAAATATAGTTTTCTAAATGACAAGCTTTTCCAATACTATTTTGAAATAAAATTATTTTCTGTAGCACACTGACGATAATTTGTACAATAGCTTTCATAAACCATTATTCAGTGCTATAGGTTGTCAGCTGGAGAAGTAGGATCTTTAGGTTTTGACTGTGGCTTAGCATTCTCACCCCTGAAATTATTTTATAATGTTTACTTTAAAAACATTTATATACGATAAAATATCATAGCAATATATGTTTAAAGTAGCAAGTAAGACAATTCAGTGACTTATGAATCAAATATTAATATTGCATAGGGGCCAGTGTTACCACTCTTAGTTTTCTTTTCACCCCTTTTCCTTTGCAAATATGAACAACTTATTCTTTAGCTTATGTATTTGCCATGAACTGCATGATTTGTGAAATGCTTTTTCAGTTAATTTTTATTTGTTAGATAAATCTTTTGTATTTTATTTTGCCTAAAATGGATTCATGTCATACATAAAACACACATAATCTTTCTGTGCAATATGCTGTTTTCATTATGCATTATATGGCAAAGGTAATCACAGGTAACATTTCCTGCATCATTACAATGAAAATCATGGATGCAGTGTTCTTATTCTTTATATATATTCACCTATTCAGTACTCACAAAATGTTTTAGATATAAGTGACTTTATTATCCTAATCCTATCACTAATGAAAGGACCTTCAATTCCAGTCGAAAGCCTAAACTTGAAAGAATAAAAAAGAAAAAAAAAAAAAAAAAAAAAACCCTGACTCATATAGATATAAAACTTGTTTGATATATTAAATGGTAGCAAAACTAAAAATAAGGTAGACTGTTACTGTTACTAAGAGAATGGTTGTCTCTAGTGGGAGAGGAATGAAGGATGTTATCAAGAAGATAAGTGTAGTACAGAACTAAGGGCTGGTAGAGTAGGAGGGCTCTAATGTGCTGGGTAGGCAGATTCACTGCCTACTGTTACATAATCAGTTTTTAAAGCTGTTTTTAAAACATTGGTGTTTAAAAAATCTGTAGCAATGGGAGTATTTGTACAACAGAAATCAAATGCTGGAAATGCTTTAAATCAAGAATCCATCATTCCCATGTTATGCATAGTTTCTTTAGTAACACACCAATGGTTGGATTTTCTTACTAGACTGTTGTTAGTATTTGATTTTTTTTTACCTAAGAAGTTGTGACACAGGTGTTCATTTTACAATAACACATTAAGTTGTGTTCTTGTATATTATGTATGTGTCCTTTATTTCACAGTGAAACAAGTTTTTAAAAGTATTCATAAGAAGGGTAAGGGGGTTTTATGTAATGTTGATTGTGAACAGTCTGGGAATGGGGGCCAAACTTGTTTTTCACTAATGGGTGGATGAATTATTTAGGTAATAATTTACTTGCAAATGTAACAATCTGCATGTAAATATTTTTGGATACTTAAAGAGGTTAAAATTGTATGTGAAAGGATTGCCCTTTCAAAATTGACATATCATCTATATATTTCCAATAAAGACTTCATTATTTAAGAATTTGGGGGGCTCTAGCTTTATTTCTTTCTTTCTTTCTTTTTTTTTTTTTTTTTTTTTTTGTCTTTTTCCTTTTTATCGGTACCGGGAATCAGACTCTCCACTGCCCCCTTGTTACGCCGCTGAGCTAAATCCCCAGCCCCTCTAGCTTTATTTCTTAGAACTATAATTATTGTTCATTATGTACTACTTACATGTCATTTTATGATATCAATTCTATTGGTAATTATTAAACAAGTAATTATTTTAGTATATAGGCATTTTGATCAAAGTATATACATTTTAATATTTGTGTTAACTTTTGTTTATTGACTTAGTAGCCATTTTATGTGCTTATAATATTATATTTTGCATCATGTACAAAGAAGAAAAGATCTACAAAACAAATTACTAGATAAATTGGGATGCTTTTTCTTTGCTTTCCTGTATGAAATATGGAGTGAATCTAGGTAGAGTTTAAATGAAAACAAGCTTAACTGAGAGTAGAAGAAATACTACAAAACCTGTTAAGTTAATAAAAATAAGAAAATATAATTGGGTAAATATTTGTTGATGATGCAGTCCAGAATTATTCAGAAATTGAGCTCTCATCCCTCAAATCTGACATTTTGTGAATAATTTTAAGTTGGTAAAAACCTGAAAATTAATTTTAGATGCTCTTACTGAAATAGTATAACATTAACAATAACATAATTTTAATAAGCAATTATTAAATTAACATTTTAAAAGAGTAATTGCATTAAACTTATTTAATATCATGTGTTTCCCTTTGTTTTTTTTTTTTTTTTTTTTTTTAAACTATTTTATCCTAGATGGTCCCCGGCCATCACAAAAAGAAATTATTTCACTACGGGCATTTATGCTGCTTTTTCTGAAACAACTCATCCTAAAGGTAAAATAATTTTATATATTTAGAATTATGATATATTAGATCAAAGGAACTTTTGGCAAAGTTGGCATATTTTTGCATTGTTATTGCTAAATTATCAGTAACACTCTTTCATGAATTGCTTGCAAATTTTTATAAATTGTAGTACTAACTTTTGTTGAACTTTTAATTAAATGCTTTTTGATATTTTTCATATTAATCAAAGTGGCAGAAAATAACAAGGAACATAAGTAAGAATTAAGCATAAATGTTTATTTTGTAAAATGTTCCAGTTCCAGTTTAAGAAATCTTGTATAGTATATAGAAATGTTGCACAGATATAGAAAAAAGGAAAATAAACTAAAATTGTAGGATAATACGAAAAGTTGATAAATGTGTTAATCTCTTTCTGGACAAATACTTGACAAGTGCAATTTATTAGGAAAAGTTTTATTTAGCTCGTCGTTTCCGAAAGTTCAGTCCATGTTTGGCTGATCCCAAGGCAGAAATGGCATGGCAGAAGAGCCAGGTGGAGGAAAGCTGCTTAACACATGGCAATGAAGAAGCAGAGAGGGCACAGGGAAGAGTCAGGAACACACCCATGAAGTTCATGCCCCAGTGACCAACCTCGCCAAGTAGGCCCAAGTCCTAACAGTACATTCATCTATGAATTCATCAGTGAATTAATTACTGATGCATTTAACACCCTCACAATATATTTACCTTTGTAAAGCTCCACCTCTGAACACAAGAATTTGAATGACGCTACAGTTTAATCGTAATGTTTAGCCCCTGACTCCCAAGTGGCTAATGTGTGCACATTATGTGTACTACATAAAATGCATATAGTCTGTTTCCAAGAGTCACCAATGTCTTAATATTCCTAGCATTGCTCAGATGTCTAGATACAAGATTTTGGAGTCTTCTCTGAGGCTCAAACTCTTAGCCATGACTATAAAAAGTCAGAAAGAAAGTAAAATATTTCCATGGTGCAGGGTAAAAAATACCATTTCAAAAGCAAGGAATAAAGATATAGAAAAGAATCAGACCAAAATAAGATTGAAATCCAGCAGGAAAAACATTAAATTTTGTAGCTCAATGCCCAGCACCTAGGACATGTGGAAATGAAATGTGAATTCTAAAGAACACCGGCAGTAGCAGCCCTGTAGCTATGCAAGTTGCTACTCAACCCATGTGGATAGCCACTCTCATGGTCTGGTTTCAATCTCTCCTTCTGGGTTTAGTCAGCAGAAATTCCTTGTTCCTAAATGTCTAATTTTTTTAGAATCTCCACCCTCAACTTTACTCACCTGACTTCGCTCATTGTTTTCTCAAAGGCACATTACCTAGACTTACAGGCTTTCCTTTGAAATCTAGGAGAAAGCCTCCATGATATAACAAATCTTGTACTCAATATTCCTATAAAACCAGCAGCATCTGTTCTGAGTGGTAGTCCCTGTGGACCATGAGTGCAGTGGCCTCTAAGTAACTAGATGGCTAAATTATAGAATGTATTTCTCTAGGCAGTCCCAAATGAGCAGGACACTTTTGGTCTCTCTTTTCAAAGAAAAGTGTTTCAAAGAATTTATTCTTACACAGCCTCTAATGGTTTGCATCTGGCTGGATAATGAGATGCCGTTAATCCTTCCTTTCTATTCTTCTGGTTAAAGTATATGAACTCAATTTGTTCTCCTATTTTGGGAAGGATGACCATGTTTGTATAGGAAAGATGGTTGCAGTCCTGTTTGCCACCAGATGCAGAGTTTGCAAACAAAAATAAAAACTTATTGAATACTTCTTTGTGAACCAAATTGTTTGCAAATAAAAGCATTTGTGAACCAATGTACCACTGTATATGATTTCTTTTCAATGGTGCTAAACTTTTCAGCAACCACACTCTCTTTGACCCCACTTTACATGCACTTATTTTCTTGCCAAACTGGACCATTTGGATTCTGCTCTTTGCTTATGATTCTTACCATGAATAAATTTTGGTTAAAAGCAGCCAGTAGTAACATGCTATCACCTGAACACTGGACTACCTTGGTATTTCCTCTGCCAGATTAGTCTGCTGCCTTTAAGTTCTCTTTCATATGAAGTTGTAAGACGTGAGTAAAATGTAGGCAAGTTCTTTGCCAAAGTGTAAGATAAACAACCCTGAGTCCGATTTCCAGTAGAGTATCTTCCATCTAAAACCTCTTGAGCCTGACATTTACTGTCCAATTCACGTCAGCATTCTTGTCTTCTTAGCTCCAACAGATTGCCCATTAAGATCTTACATCATCTTAAGGTTTCTGTATCAGATATCTCCCAATCTTTGCAGACTGGCCTACAAAAGAATTCCAAAGCATCTTACCCATATTATTAGGTGTAACCACAGCAACGACCCCACTTCTGTGGTAAGAGTTTTCTATATGAGTCACTTTCCTACTGTTGGATCAAAATAACTGACACCTGCAACTTAACAGAGGTGAGGTTTATGATTTCTGAGGTTTCAGTCCATTATTGACTGACTCCAGTGAAAAAAACAGCATGACAAAAAGGCATGGCAGAAGAAAGCTCCTGAGCCCATGGCAGCCACGAAGCAGAAAGTGGCAGAGGAAAGTAATTGTGGTAAGAACATATCTTTCTAGGTCACAACTCGAGTGGCCTATCTGCTCCAGGCCCTCCCTTCTGATGCCCGTTGAACTCATCAATGGATTCATCAGCTGATGAATATAGTATCTCCATGATCCAGTCACTTTTAAAAAGCCTCACCTCTGAACATTAGACTATTAGAGGATATTTTATATCTCAACATAAAAGTAATGTAAACTTTTGCATTTATGTTCTTTGAAAGAAACTAAATAATTACCAAATAGTAATAAGAATACAGGTAATGATCAAAATATACTAACTTTTGATAGATTCAATCAAGTTTTAGGAACTTTAAATCAAATAATTTCTAAATATTTACTCAAGTGAAATAAATTGTGAAGATTTAGAGAATTCTGTTTTTAAAGTCTCTATTTTAAAAGTCCTAGTTTTATTTTCAGCAATAATTTTGAAGTATTGAAATTTGAATTTAGGTTTAAATTAAATAATAAAATGTTTTTCAAAAACTAGGATCGAGGAGTGAAGGAAGATGAACTTCAGAGCATATTAAATTACCTGCTTACAATGCATGAGGTAGGACACATAATGGGTCTGTTTTAATAATTTCATTCAAAGATTTAGAATAAAATTTTTATTAAATAAATATTGATGATCCTTATTATGCAGGATGAAAATATTCATGATGTGTTACAATTATTAGTGGCTTTAATGTCAGAACACCCAGCCTCAATGATACCAGCTTTTGATCAAAGGAATGGAATAAGGTATGATTGTAGTGCTATTGTTAGAATGTAATGGAACAAAGTTTTTCACCCTAAAATACCTTTAATCAGTGTTTGAATGAATTTGAAAAAATTTACACATGAGAATGAAATAAATAGAAATAATTATTAATCCTCTCATACTCAAGGAAATTGATAAAAATATAGAAAATGTTCTCACGAATATTGAAAGTGATATAAGATAGAGAAAATGTTCTCTGGAAAAGTGAAAGTAAGTGATTATAGTTATGGATATTTCAAATGAGAAGCTCATGTTTGTTAAAACAGGACAAAAAAGAATATATGATATGTTCTAGCAAAAAGGTGATGGTTTTTTGAAGTCCATAATGTGCTAATAAGGTTGGGAGGAGGGTGGTTTTTTTTTTTTTTTTTTTTTTTTTTTTGGTTTTTTTCTGTTGGTGATACACTTTGAAGAGTTTTGAATGGGGAAGTATCGTTTATAAATTGCAATTTTGTTCAATTTATAGTGATGTAAACATGACTTAGAGAAGAGGATTGATAGTCGTATCAAAGAGAGGTTCTTTTATTTATTAGTTTTAAGATGGTGACCTGATGCAGTGACAGTGCAATGAGAATAATAGACTAGAAACGTATTTTGGAATAAGAGTTTTAAATAAAAAAAAAAAATCTGAAAGCTAACTTTAGTCGTGATAATTGTAAGGAAACTATAAACGTGTGAAGCAGTTTCTGTGGTAATACTCTCATGAATTTAAGCCTGTTACTTTTTCAAAAGAATTATAAAAATCCTCAAATATTTTTATTTTATATGTTTATAAAAGATTTTTAAAGTATTTGGTAGTTTTATTGTGATATTAGTAAGTGCTTATGAAATAATTTATATATTATTAGGGTGATCTACAAATTACTGGCTTCTAAAAGTGAAAGTATCTGGGTTCAAGCTCTGAAGGTGCTGGGATACTTTCTGAAGCATTTAGGTCACAAGTAAGTTGATGTTTTTCATTGTGAATTTAGAAATTTAGCAAAACTTGTTATGAGCTTTGCATCTAACATAATGTAAAATTCGACAGGAGTGTCAAACAGTAGATATATAGTTAAAGTTGTAAGAATGTTTCATAAAATAATGTTTTATTAATAGAGGATTATAGAGAAAAATATAATTTAGGTAATATAATTTATCTATTTTGTTTTTAAAATGGAAATTTTTTCTTAAGTGTATGATAAAATATTTTTTCAAAATAAAAGTAAGTATGAATATGATTTTTCTTAGAACTGCTGAATAAGTGCTCTATTATTCACTTGTATTTTTTAAGAATAAGTTTATTGATTTTGCTTATGTTTTGAAGATTCTAGCAGCTGGGAGTTTAGCTCTGCAGCATAAGTGCCTGCTTGGCATATGTGAGGTTGTGCGTTTAATCCTCAGTACCAGTAAAATAAAATAAAAACGAAGATTCTAGAATACCTCATTTCTTACTCTGAAATCTAGAATTTCAATACTTAAAAAATAACTTTTGCTATAAGCAAACCTGTAGATTTAATGTTTACAGTTTATACTATGCTGTCCAGTGCTTGAATATTGTTTTATAAATTCATTTTCTATACAAATTAACCAAAGGATGTCATGTTATTATTTACTAGTACTAGATGGGATTTCTCGTAGAACCCTGAGTGTTGCCAGTTCTGTCTGGTGCTTACGTTTACAAGGTTGTTGATAATACAAAAATTGCAAAACTCTTAGCAGCCATATCTAGCATGCTGCATACTTTAATGTTACTATTAAGTATCCTTCTTTTTACTTGATGTCTGGCTTTTTGAGTACTAGTCTAGTTGATCCAATACTAGTAGTAGATTATGATTCCTAGTTATTTTGTTTGCATTTGTATGACATAACTTACCCTTTTAGTCTCAGTCTTTGTAAATTACTTTTTTTTGATATGTTTCTGGCATGTAGAAGTAGACTCCACTTGTTCATCAACTTTGATGTTTTTCTTTCTTAACAGAGAGATTTATAAGTTTTACTATGTTTATTTTTTAAGATAGTCATGTCCAATCTTAGATGTTATGTTTTGTTATTCTTGACTATAAAAGCATATTTTAAAGACTTCTATTACATGTATTATTCTTAGTTTTATCTACAGAAATCATTAGTATTTGGAAATTTCAGTTTTCTTGAAATACACATCTTTGTAATCATAAAATTATGAGTAATCCTCTATTGTGTAGAAAGTATACTGCCCTATTAAAACGAAAGCTAATGTCAACAGATTTACTGTTTTTTTTCTCTTGAAACTTAGAACATGTAATATTTCGTTTGTCAGCTTATATAGAAATACTTAATTCATGAATGCTTTTTTATTTGCAAACAATGTGGTTTCCAAACATAAGTATTTGGCAAAATTATGTTTTTGTTTGCAGACTCTGCATCTAGTGACAAACGTGACAGGGACCATCATTCCCGTACAAATACAAATATGGTCGTCATTTCCAAAATCATAGAACAAATTAAGTTCATTTAATTCATTTAAGTTGAATTATATTCTATAATTCAAACTGTGAAATAATCCGATAACTTTGATAACTGAGTTATGAAAAATAACAACTCCACCCAAAGGGGCCTTCTCTTTATTAGCGGGAATCATCGAACTATTCACCCTATGAAATGGAATTATGATGAAACAACATTTTTTAACAACATTAAAAATTCAGATAGAGTCCTAAAGGTGATATTCTATTTGTGTACAAAATAAATTTTGCCTTCAATTCACTTATTTTAGTAGACTGGAAGACCTTAAAATGAGGACCAAAATATAAAGTGAGAGAAAAGAAAAAGGCTTAGAAAATAGATTTAACGTATAATTGAAAAGAGTTCTTGAAAGAGAAAAATTATGGGCAAAACTAGATGTCATGAAAACCTTTCCAATACTAAAAATTTAAAAATGTTAATTAAAAATATGTCAAGCTCTCATATGCCAAACATGAATGCCAACCGTAATAGGAGAAACAAGACTTAAAAAACCAGTTAGGTTTAAAACAAACCATGCAAATTTTTACTTTAAAAAACCTACTCAACTTATGGAAATAGAAAAGTAGTAAAAAATTAACAACTCATTTGACAAGATAAGCAAAATAAAATTGACTTCAAAAGTTGTTAGAGAACTGCAAGATACAGCTGAAAAAAATAACGTATCATGTAACACCAATAAACAAAGATGACACATTGAATGGAGGGGAGAAATACAAAGAAAGAATGAAAGAATTTTAACACGTTTTTATGAGTATTACAGAAAACAAAGAATGACAAAGAGCCACTATTCAGGGAAAATTATTGAAAATTTTAATAAATGGATAAAAGATAATATTTTCCAGATTTGTGCAGTGAGATGAGGTGTAAACAGGACAGATTAGTATAAAATTTCAAAATAAAGCTGCAGAGCACTGAAGACTACACACCACAGAGGAAGCCAGCCCTGCACTGTTAAATCATGAATAGAAAAAAAATGGAAGTTCAGTGAATTGATTCAAATGCTATGGATATATAAAAAAAAGTGCTAGCTCAGTGAACGGAGCAGTGATATATTAAAAACTTCATGCCATTTTTTTAAGGAAAAGTTTTTTACTTGCATTGAAAATTTGCTAAGCAGTTATAATACATGGAACATTCTGGCAGGGTATTGTTGACTGTAGAGAAAGTTGTATTTGTCACGAGGAAATCAAAGACAGGATTATCTGCACTTTGTTTTTATTTTATATGAACCTAAATTTTTCCTGTAAAATGAAGTATTTTTAAAAAGGATTGAAGAATGTGACAAGGAAATTAAATGCTAAGAAAAAATTTTAACAATATTGGAAGCTTGCTGTGAATGAGGGAGGAAAAATGAAATGTCTGTCTTTTTTATGTCTTCATAAGTAAATGTACTAATTACTTTAAAAATTAAATGATAAAAACTGGTAAAACAACATTTGAATAAACCCAAACAAATTTTAAGGCAAAAAAAAAAAAAAAAATCACCAATGACAAAGTACCATAAAATGAGGACACAATTTGCTAAGTAGATAAAACAATTTAAGTGATGTATGTATGTATATATGCACAAGTTAGATACAGAAAGCAAAATATGAATCAAATTTGAAAGGCAAATCAGTAATTTATAGATGTCAACATATTTTTCTAAGAAACAGTCATACCCGAAAAAATCCCAGCAGTATTTGCAAAATACTCTGTGGCTTAAGTAACACTTCATCATGCACAAAACTATGCAATTTGCTGAAATTAGGACATAAAATAGGCTTAATATGTCTAAGTAGTTTTCATGCTGGTGTAACAGTGCATTCTGATAATTCTAGACTTTGAGAGGCCTGTAAGTTAGAGATCAGCAGATTATATAGTAAGTTCAAGGCCATTCTGAGCTATGTAGTAAGATGATGCTCCCTCACAAAGTAAAAGTTGCCATACCAATGACTTTCTTTGCCCCAGTGCAGTTACATAAGAAATCACTCATAAATTAGAAATGTGTATCTTCTAATAACCCACAATAAAAAGTTACAGTTATAATAAGATGTTCAAAGTTCTGTATGTTTACACTTGTGAGAGTATTGTAAGCAATTTATAGTGATAAATCTTTATATTAAGAAAAAAAGATAATTTGGTTTTTTTTCCTTATTTTACAACTTTATGCTTAGCTTATTAATTGTAAGCATGAGAAGAAAAAACATCAGAAACTAATGCAATAAAAAGCAGCAGAACATCATGATGAAAAAGATGTATTATTCACTTCATAAAATACTTGCTAATGACTGAGCTCGATAAGAAATGAACCATGGTCTCATATGACGAAATTAGTATCTTGATCCAGAATTGGATATGTTGATAAATTTTAAAAAGTTGTGGTAGTCTTTCCTGTGAGCATGAGTTCATCAATTTTTCTAAGTATATGTTATAATCATATTAAGGGTAGTGAGACAATGCAAGGCTGGTTTAATATCAGGGATCTTTTCATGCTATGTACTTACTAACATAAGGGAATAGATATATAATTATCGAGTGTAAAAATGTTTGATAAAATTTAGTACCCATTATCAATCCTTTTACCAATCCACAAATAGAAAATAGTTCTTTTAAGCTGATAACATTTACTTACTAAATGTTTAACACAGTCCTCTTTGATAGTGAATTATTTGAAGCATTCTCTTCCAGTAACTTAAGTGAAAACCTGATTTTACTACCCAGATTCAGAATTCTCTTATATTGGCATGTAGAAAAACGTTTCCAGGTACACATGCACTTTCCAGTTTATATCAGAGGTTGGGCTATAATACACTAAACAAATCTCAGTAAATTTAAGTATTAGAATCAAACAAAATATTTTCTCAGACCATTACAGAATTAGATTAGATAAATCAAAAGGAGATTTGCGAAACTGCAAGGTATTTGGAAAGTAAGCAAAACAAAAAAACCCCTGGGTCAAGAAGGAAATCACAAAGAAAATTAGAAGGTAATTTGGGTGAAATGTAGGTACATCTGCAACATAGAATAATATATTGAATTCCGAACCACAGTTATCAAAATTAAAATTCTACAGCCATAACCTAAAAAGATTGTCTAAATTTTTTAAAAGTATCAAAAGAATTTATCATTATAACTTGGCATTTCCACAATTAGATGTATGTGCAAAACAAAGAGCAGCATATTTTAACCATATTTGTTTATGAATATTCTTAGCATCATTATATGTAATATCTGTAGATTGTAAAGAATCCATATTGCATCATGTGGTGAATGTACAAATAAAATGTCTGTCCATACAGTGAAAACATCTTGTGTGATTAAAACAATAGGGATTACTGATAGATGCTATGTGTAATGAGTTCTAAAAGTGAAAGAAGCCACATGAGGAGAACTAGTAAATTATTGTGATTATTTCAGATTTTCAAAGGGCAGATTTGTGATTATATGGCATTAGCAGTGGGAGTGGGCATTGACTGCA